TTGAAACGAACTATTTCACAGATCTCGAGACAAAGCCGGAGATTACTTACCGGCCTGATGTTTGAAGTCTCCCTTTAAAGAGATCATGCTCGATGTGTCGAAAGTGTCGCGTTCTCGATATCGTCCCCGGGGTGCTGTTAAATTCTTTCCAACCCCTACCCTGGGTACGGAGGTGGATGGATATCGGTGCCTAGCCACTTCTCTCGAAACTTGACGCCCGAGTCAGGAAGCCATCTGTTACACTTCGTCGAAGTTTCGCCCGCGAAAGGTCGTATTTATTCCCGCCGGTGGAGCGCGTCAGAAAGAGATCTCGTATTTTTCACGAACGGATGAAGAGCTCTGAAAAGTTTGATACTCCTTGGACTTCCATCATCAGTTGGTTAGATGAAATTCTTGAATGCCAAATTGTTTTCCTCATTCTTCAATTAATCTTGAGAATTTTTGTGTTTAATGGTGTTATAAAATTCTGTGATATTGATGATGAAACGAGAATGATCCCAGAATGCAAAGTCGGGGTTATAATACAAATCGGGTCGCTCAACGCTAATATTGTCACGTCGCATCATGTCACGCCTTCGAGGTGGCCCGAATCGAGTGACCTGTCGATGACAGCTTCTCTATCGGTGACACGAGGCACCTATAAGATCGAAATTTACCCCTGTAACGCGTCAATTCTCCCTCTGCGCGGAATCCGTTTCGCCCGATTAACTTCGAACCTGCGATCCGAAAGAATTTTGAAGTAGGCCACATCGATCCCGCTCTGTCCATCGAAATACATAAATTTTGTCGGTCTCCACTGCACAAACGAAATCTCTGTATAATTTAAAATTTTAACACATCAGTAATTGTTATATAATATGATAGTAATAATTTTCCTAAATCCTATTTTTTGTTTAAGTGAATGAGGGAAACGCGGGATCTATGTAACAAGAATATGTAATTTACCAAATTGTTATTGAATTGGTAATTGCACTTCTGGGCTATTGAACTCCTAATCACTATCATTCCAAAACTTAATCTCTTACCAAACTTAGAACTCTGTTCTTTAATTTACCATTTATTTTTTCACCCCTGTGGATCAATGTTCGCCAAGTGTTCAAGAAAATTGTTTATCAGGTCAAGGTTTCTTCCCTCGTCGGAGGCTGTGTCAACATACTGGCGAAGAGCGTAAATATTTATAGGACTTACGCGAGGGGAAGTTTGTATATTATACGAAACAGAACTTTATGTCTGGGGTATGAAAAGTAAGCGGTTCAATTTACTGAATGAGAATCATATCTTTTTTCCTCCTCTGTGCTATTTCCTGTTCCTATAACTGTAATGACTACAAGATCGATTCAGGGGGTCTATAAATTGAGAGGATGTCAATGCGCGTTTAAGTTTCCACCGAATCAGATACAGATAGGAAGTGTCAACGTTCCTCGCTAAGACTTTTACCATGCCATTTATCTTACTTGTCAGTTGTAGTAAAATATCGAGATGAAGAATTTAGAAACCTATCATCAAAAGTAGGACAAGAATTGAATAAGAGATGAGAATGCAAAAAGTATTATAATATGGTTTATGTATTTGTTTGCAATATATTATCAGAGAATTATTCATAGTCAAAATACATTTTTATAGAATTATTCGCAGGATACCACAGGCAACACAATAATCAGAAAATAAATGCTCTATGGGTGAAAAGATTTATCATGATTCACAATTTATGAGTACTGTTATAATTTAAAATTTGTACGCCTCGAAATATTTATTGACGATAGTAATGAAACATTTACAAAACGGAACTCAAATTTCAATAGATCCCTGAATTAAATTTATGTGATCATTGCTAAAAGTTGGTTGTATATAATATGCCCATATAATCACGAATTACTGTTTAATACTTTTATGACTCACTAAATTTGATAGAGGATAATTCGCATTGGGTCGTCGTTTAATATGTTTAATGCATCGAAGCTAACCGAAATTCCCAATAACTTTTAATCTCATTAGGTAAACGTGTCTCCGCGAATACGTCATATTAATGCCCCGGGTACAAGCTTCCCGAGCAGTGAATTCCCGAGCTCGTTCTCTAAAAGCGAAGAGCGAGCTTCTGTTTCTCGAGCTGGAGCGGCAAAGAACATGAAAATCTCTCCCTTTGTTTCGCTTTTCTCTCGCGTCCCGACCCAGTCCGACCGAGCTTATGAAGTTGAACCGCGTAAACGGAAGAGCCGTGTTAAAAATTAATGTCGCGCCGTATTCTCCGCCGCAATTGCAATACTACCACTGAATAGCCTTTCCCTCTTTTTAAACTCTTTCCTGTTTCAATTGTATCTCTCGCTGCACGAGTAAGAATGATACTTTATTTATGTAAGTAACATTTTCAACAAAATGGTTGGAATTTTTACATCCATTCTTATGTACGCAGTAATTAAATGTAATAATTAATCGTACGTACATTAAGAAATGATAACAGAACAAGTCAACATCTGTACTATAAGTACCTACTTTTTGTATGCATTATATTCTCTTATGCATTCAGTTGTGGACTGAATTCAACCAGTTCTCTGTTATGTCAAATAAGATGCGATGTACTTGATATTATTTAATCGGTGAGAATGTGTCTGTGCAATCAATCTCTATGAAAAATTCACTGGATTGACGTTGTTGTATCGACGTTCCTGTTTCTCGATCCAGAATCTCAGATATTTGCGGAATACAGGGAATGAGGATGGACGTGTGGAATTCTCATGAAAACATAATTGACCAAATCGTCTCTTACCATTAAAACAACGTTGACTTCACAATATTTTTTTCGGTTATTGATTTTTAATCAGTTTCTTCATGAGATTTTCAATCAGTCAAAAATTGAATCCTTGTGTAACAAATGAAGAGAGATTAATATTCTAACATCAAAATTGTTCTAACACGATATTAACGATATCTCCATGTATATTTATATGATATTGAATTTATATAAGAATTCATATAATCTTATTCTATTTCCCATTAAATCATTCGTAGTACAAAAATACAAGTAATACTCAAGCAGGTACATACATTAAGTATAATCATACTGGAACCTGTGAGGCAAAAGAATTTTAATGGGAAAGCGTTATTCTTCGTTATTTGCACTCCGTTTTCTTCCATCTACATTATGATTATACATTAAAAATGTTCGTACAGGGAGAGAAAGAGAACATTCAGCTCTATAAATTCATTTGTGAAAAGTAACTTAATATCAAACAACGTAGCGTATATTTGTAATGCTCGATTGTAGTCATTTTTTTGTTATAAGTTTCGATTATTCGATCCCGAACGAAGCGATGCAGTAGCTAAATAAATTGAGAACCACGAGGAATTTGTATAAAATGTGGAAATATCCTCCGCATTTCTTCAGATTATTCTATATTCTTCTTTACATTCGTTAAAGCAGATCCATTATACCTCGTAATACATTTTTATGAAAATTTAAAAACGTGAGGCGAAAACGTGATGTTTCCGCTTATTTCGGTGTAATAAATATATCAATACCGTGTACAATGTGCATGCATTTTTAAATCAGCATCGAAATTTGTCTGGCTTACGTTTGACACGTGCTATGGTTATGATATTTTATATGTATAGAATTGTAAACAAGCCTTCCATGTTTTCCCACCATTTTCTACATAATTTAGACTACCGAACTGACGGAGTTCTTTCGTAATTCAATTTTATGTACGCACTACAGTACAGAAATTTTTTTATTACTGAACTATGAGAAACAACAGAGATAAAAACAAATAAAACGAGTTGGCAAATGAGGCTGGTTCTCCGGACATAATAAGATAAATGCTAACTATAAAATGAACTAGACTGAGGATATTTATGCAAAACTTGTCGAGTACTAATATGAAAAATAAGATTTAGTAAGAATGTCTTTTAATCTTTTTCTCAAGCAGGTACATACATTAAGTATAATCATACTGGAACCTGTGAGGCAAAAGAATTTTAATGGGAAAGCGTTATTCTTCGTTATTTGCACTCCGTTTTCTTCCATCTACATTATGATTATACATTAAAAATGTTCGTACAGGGAGAGAAAGAGAACATTCAGCTCTATAAATTCATTTGTGAAAAGTAACTTAATATCAAACAACGTAGCGTATATTTGTAATGCTCGATTGTAGTCATTTTTTTGTTATAAGTTTCGATTATTCGATCCCGAACGAAGCGATGCAGTAGCTAAATAAATTGAGAACCACGAGGAATTTGTATAAAATGTGGAAATATCCTCCGCATTTCTTCAGATTATTCTATATTCTTCTTTACATTCGTTAAAGCAGATCCATTATACCTCGTAATACATTTTTATGAAAATTTAAAAACGTGAGGCGAAAACGTGATGTTTCCGCTTATTTCGGTGTAATAAATATATCAATACCGTGTACAATGTGCATGCATTTTTAAATCAGCATCGAAATTTGTCTGGCTTACGTTTGACACGTGCTATGGTTATGATATTTTATATGTATAGAATTGTAAACAAGCCTTCCATGTTTTCCCACCATTTTCTACATAATTTAGACTACCGAACTGACGGAGTTCTTTCGTAATTCAATTTTATGTACGCACTACAGTACAGAAATTTTTTTATTACTGAACTATGAGAAACAACAGAGATAAAAACAAATAAAACGAGTTGTTAAATGAGGCTGGTTCTCCGGACATAATAAGATAAATGCTAACTATAAAATGAATTATAACTAGACTGAGGATATTTATGCAAAACTTGTCGAGTATTAATATAAAAAATAAGATTTAGTAAGAATGTCTTTTAATCTTTTCAACATCATGATATGCATTCTGCTGCTGATACTAGATTGATGTACTTTTGTATACTATATATTATTTTTGTTTTGTACATACCTAATTTTGTTATAAATGCATAAAATTTACAGTCCAGTCATAATTGTTAACTATAACAAACGAACTATAAGCTTTATCCCATTGTAAAGGAAAAATAATTTCTTTTGCAGTTCGCGTCTTTCTGTGAATCAAGCCCACTTAAAGATCGAACAGTCAAGAGGGTGATACATACTTCCGAAGAGGAGAAGTCGTATTGATGGGTGCAGAAGACAAACAGAGAGAGGGGGAACGCGAATGGAGAAAATATTAACCCGGTCAAGACGAAAGTCAGTGTCTACTCGACTGATTTGACATTTCCGTGTGCGCGCGCGCTTATTTCGAGCTCCAGCGAGGTCCGTGTTTTCATCGCTTCGAAACGGGAGCCCGGAAGAAGAGAAATGGGAATATTGGGAAAATTACTTTCGTCGGTGTCCCTGGTGTCCATCTGGTGTCTGCTGATCGTCGAGCCCGGCAAGGTTCAGAGGGAACAGGATCATCTGGGTAAGTTATCCTTTTTTATTGTGTTCACGGCCCTTGGCTTACCGTGCTGACGTCGCGTCGCCGTACGATTTCATTTCCGCCATCGCAGTGATTTTCCTCGAGCTCCGTTTGAGCTCCTTCTTTCACCGAAAATCGGAAATAAAGCCTGCAATTCGTTAATCACAAATAATAGAATTGCCAATTTTTTAGATATACTCATTTGTTAAATTAAGAGACATTTCTATATTTACGCTCAGTGTGGAGAGCCTATTTAATTGTTTCTAATGTACACTACTTTTTTTGTAAACGTAACATTACGTTACTAATGCAACCCTTTGATTCATGATTTCGTTTTAAATAATGCATCTTCTCACATGGGTGAGATTTATTTTCAAGACTTTCATTGGTACGCCTTAAATTCTCGATACTGATTTATGAACGTTACTTAACATTTTTTTCTGTACACAGTACACGTATGACTAAGCAGATGTAAATTTGGATTCTGATTTATCGTTCCTCCGTATATGACAGATTTATCATGCTCGTGCTTAGCAATTCGCTTTTTGAGACAGATTTATCGTCTTAAGTTAAATGTATTGACATTTTCCCAAACTCGCGTTCTAAATAATGGTAATATCAGTATTTCTTTTTATTTATAAAATCAATTTCTTTTTGTCATTCCGTCCACACGTTATAAAAA